GGGAGTTTCCCCATAAGTTTCTACATTAAACGTCTACGTCTGTTGTCTTGTCTGTCTACTGTCGCGCACTAACCGCCAAGACAAATTCCTTGTATGTTTGACATATTTTGGCTAATAAATGTTTCCTGATTCCTGATACAATACAATAGTATGAAAATGAAAAGGTTTCTCATGGAGCTGAGAGGCTCCAGCTGGTTAGTGCTGCCCATGTGAGAGGAAAACTGCTGAATTATTTTTGACTAATGTAAGGAGCTCTCTGTTTTGGATAAACTGAAGATACAATGGCTTCACCGTAAAACAAGAAGCCAGAGTGGCCTAGCCTCCACCTCTCCCCTCCACCTGTCCACCGCGAATTAAATCTGACGGTCCCAGCATTCCCCCAGAGTGGTATCATGGTTTTTAGCCTTTTTCCCCACCTAGGATAAAACTAGAAGAAGGGAAAGGAAGGATCATTATCTCCTCCTTTTCAGTATTCCTAGCGACAATCCATCCCAATACCAAAAGTAACATAATAAATTGTTCTCAGTTCTCAGTGAATTCCGCTCTCAAAAATACCATGTCAACATCACAAAACATGTGGAACCAAATCCTACTTTGGCTTTTGATCGTTGTTGTGTTACGCTGCTTGAGTTCCTCCATCAGAAACCTGAGTAGAGAGGTCCACAGGTGGTGTAGGGGCAGGCGACCTCACCTATAGTCCCCGTGTGTGTGTGTGTGTGTGTGCGCTGCCGGGAAGAGCGCCTACCAGCATAGAGATTACAATGACTGTAAGATAGGAAGGAAGAAAGTAAGAAGCGCAAAGCCCGGAAATCTTCAAGCGGAGAGCCTCTTTTGATGTGTGTTTGCATTCCTTTCAGTGTTGGTGAAAGGGGAGCTGTTGAACGGTAGTAGAGGAGAGGAACACTTGAAACTGACCAGGGCGCTAAGAAAAACACACACCAGGGCTCATAACAAAAGTCCTGGTGGAGGAGGGTGACGGTGAGTGAGGACAGAAGGACGGGCTTTAAGGAGAAAAATGAACTGATAAATATCACCACACAACTTCCCCTGTTGGTTACTCACGCAACGAGAATTGTTGTTTTTTGTACCAAGTTTTCTGAAATGTTGCGTTAAAATATGTTCTCATTCGTAAAATGTCCAAAACGGAAATTTGTGAACATTGGTTCCCGTTTTGTTTTCTAAAAGTTTTACTTAGAGGGAATTAGTGATATCTCTTTGAATCACTTCAAGAATCAGAAAATACTGTCAATAAAATGATTTTATATGGGGAAAATTTGTATAAATCTGGCTGCAAATGATATCTGAACATAGCGATGTAAAAAACCTGAGACTATGTAAAATTTTACAGACTGAAAACACTACAAACCTGTAAATTCATTTTCGAGTAAATTCAGACTTTCTTGTTTCTAGCTATCCGCAATCTCTTTTCGAAACAAAGTTACACAAACAATCTGCAGTGGAAACGAGTGAATCTGAACCCTTTCCGAATTGAAATCTGTCCTTGGCAGAAGAAAAGCTAACCGTGACTTCCCCCATTACCTCAGTGTTTTTGCTGAGCGTGGTGTGGTTAAGTGGCATGTCTGGATGCTGCATCAGAGCGGGGGCCGCTGGAGGAAAATGGAGACGTGAAACATCTGCTATAAACTGTACTTCTCTCTGTTTAATATTTGCCATCCTGTGCACTCACCCCGCTCAACATTTTCTGTTACCCGTTTTATTTATGATTCATAAAAAGCCGGAACACATTCAAAGACTTCCTGGTTTGGGTGGACTTAAAGAACTTGTTGAATATAATAAATACAAGACGTACTTCTTGGCATCTGTGATCAACGACAACAGTTAAACCATGTCAAGCACACGGATCCAACAAAAAACGGACAGACTCTTCATTTAGATAGAAAATATAGATCATTCGTTCATGGAAACCAGCATCCAGGGCTGTGGTTCTGTGCGGCAGAAGGGAAGAAGAACAAAGCGGCCCAGCTGTGAAGCTCCGGGTTAAGGTTTCGGAAATGGTTAGTCTAGACTTAAAAAAGAGAAGAAAAGCAGCTTTCAGAAGAAATAAATAAATAACTTGGACCTGTAATCTGTAAATTATTTGGGGGGGTATTTGCTGCAAGGCAGACATTGCATAGCCTTTTTGAATGTCCCAGAAATCCTTTGGTGATGAGACCTGGAGCATCTTTTTAAAAATAGTTTTGAGGTCCGTTGAGTATCACTTTCTCTAGCAGACACCGCATGCAGAAGTTTGTATCATCTATTTATCAGACGTGACAAAACATGGGAGACTTATTCATGTAACATTTCTTCAAAGAGTAAAGAAGTTGGGACGCTGTGTTGTGAGTGTGGGTAATCCTGCCCTGTCCCCGGCCCGTGGTCACATGGCACAGCAGGGTGTGTGTGTGTGTGTGTGTGTGTGTGTGAGAGAGTGAGTGAGAAGGGGGGGTTGCTTATCCTGTTCGTGCCCCAACGGGATGCCCAGCCGACCAGAAGATGAAAAAAGAAGTGCGCCCTTGTTGTTTGTTCGCCTTTGGCCCCTGCCATCTGTCCCTTTGGTTCCTGACACCTGTACCAGCCTGTCAGAGCTGGGCCTCCCTGTAAAGTAACAGCTCCACAGAATTAAGGAAAGGGGTGGGCCGGAGGGGGGGGGGTGGTGGGGGATAGGGGTGAAGTAGGGGCCGCTTTTTGAGAAACGGAATCAAGCCTTGTCCACACTGAAGAATTTTCAAATCTTAACATCATGACCGACCGATTAAACAGATTTTTTTTTCTAATTCCAAAAGAACACAAGGAATAACACACTAGCTGCTGGCCTGGACGAAGTTCTCATGCAGGCAATGACAGCCATGTTTCTGTTCTAAACAAGTACGCAACATTCTGTTGGTGACCTGTCTTCCTCTGTATGTCTCCATCAGAGCTTCCAACCATCGTCATGATGACCTCTGTTAGGAGGCAATAGAAAGGCTCCCAATGTTGTATTAAGCACATTTTAGATCATATCTGTAAACCTCTCACACTGAAGAGTCATTTGGGCAGATAACGACTCAAACTCTGGCAGATTGGGCTGACGTTTCACTTTTTAGACTTTACTGTCCCCTGAACTGTGCTCACTCTGTTTTTCTTGTGAATTACCTTTACAGGTGCGTCGTCCCCAAGCCTCTCCTCATCAAGGAATTGGCTCAAGGTTCAAAAGGCAATTGGAAAGCAAATAGTTTGGCATGCTGTAAAAGCGCGGAAAGAGCTATTAATGCGGTGCCAGATGTTCATCAGACGGAGATGTTAAGGGAGGATTCCCAGTTATTTTTAAGAGGCAGGCTGCTTGAAAGGCAAACTGTGTTGCTGCGAGCACTGGTGTGTTCACGGACACGTCTTGTCTCTGCCACTAAAGTTTTCTGGCCAGCTGAATACAATAAGAGCCCATGGAAGGCCCGTTTCCCAACAGAAAGGTGGTGTCGGAGTGGCGGAGTTCTCCCAAGACAAGTCTCGAGGACGTTTTGGCACCAAGAAAAAAAAAAGAAACAGATGCAGCCTAAACCTGTTAGTCAGCCACCTCTAATCGGCTTACACTGGCCTGGTGACAGGCGACTGGCACCTCCGAAGGGTCACAGACACCTCCGCTAATACACACTCGTCACAATGCAGGATGACATGTTGGATATCCACATGAAACCCAAAACGGCACACGTTGGGCTAGCGGAAAGCGGGTCCCTGAACAATGACCCTTTTCCATTGACAGCATCACTCTTGGCACTTTGAATTTTTCATTTGCCTTTTCCATCTTCTCATACCCTCCAGTGTTGCAAAGACTGCCTGAAATGTCCTTTTGAGGTTCCCGCTGAGGTTTTATGGTTTTTCTCACAGCCAAAAATCCCATTTGTTTCCAATTGACTTGAGTGTAAATGAATTGCTGTTTCAGGGTGTTGTTTGTGTCTTTTGGACACAAGTCCAGTCATAAACACTTTTGTTTTACAAGACTTGTGACTGCGAAATGATTTTGTGTAAAAATGTTTGAATCAGCTGGCGTCCCGCAGCGAGCAGGTGTGAGGAGGTGACCTCAAAACGCATCGTTTGGATGCCAAAAGCTCTGCGATGCACACTAAAAATGTTTTTCCCCTTTTTCCAAACCTGGAAAGAAGTTATTCTCCGCTGCACCTGTGGAACATGAAGTCACCCGCTCGGATCACACCTCATTGCTCGTAATGTCCTCCCTGACATGTTCCGAGAGCAGGTGGGAACGGCGTTGACCTCAGCGCGCGAAGCGAGCGCTCCCTTCCCGTAGTCTCGTTTGTTCTCGGCGGAGGATGATCTTGTAGGTCCCACCAAGTCAAACAAGCAGCGCGTTGCCAAGTCATGGAGCCATTCACGCAGACGTGAGGAGGTATTGACACAGTGCAGGCGGCTAAAAACCTCAGCGCTGAAGGGCCACTTGCATCTACTATTGGAACAGAGGTGGACTGTGGAATCATTACATGTAACTGAGAAATCCCTCTGTGTGTTTAGGGCCTGACCCGACATAAGTTACACTGACAGAATAAATACATCACTGTGTACAAATTGTAATACGCTTCAGTTTGTGTAGATGGGGGGGGGGGGGGATATATATATTTTTTACTGTAATGACATTAAAAGGACACCAACGTGAATCATGTTTTATTGTTTCTTTTCATGTTGCTTATGTTTTCTTCTGTAAATGGAGCAGTAGCAATGGACCATAGACACACTTCCTCCGTTTGGACAATAACATTTACTCCGTGGAAAACGAGAGTCTTTAATTAGAAACGATCAAAACAATGATTTAAACCGGTATTGTTCGTATTATCCTTATTCTAGGGTGAATGAGTATGTTACACCTGAACGCTGAAAACCTTTTCAATGAAATTAACGACAACCAAACTACATGTGCCATGAATATGAAACATTACTTTTACCTATTTTCTGTTGCCCGGTTACAGCGAAGATCCAATATTTCAACCCTAATCCTGCGCCTCTTGCCTCCATAGGTTGTGACGCAGATCGAAGAGCGGAATGGAGACTTCAGCTCCAACGGCCACTGAGAAGAAGGAGTGTAAGGGTTCAGGCCTTGATGGGAGCAGCTTCTCAGAAATGCCAAAGAAGCCCTCGCCCACCACTCTGACCAGAGGTACATCTTTCTTTCCAACCATTTACCCTCCACTCTAGATCATTTGCTAATTGATAGAGATCACATACGCTATTCTAATGCAGCAGTCTAGTATCCTCTTTGTTTACTGTAGTATCCTAAACTCTCACCGCGCAGTAAATTGTAACATGATGACCAGTCCTATAAGCAGCGGGCTGCACATGCAGAGAGGAAGACCAAGGCGTCAGAGGCGTCAGAGAATGGGTGATGAAAACGTGTTATAATGAGGTTGAAAGACCTTGTTCTCACCTCCCAAGTGTAAACTTCATGAATTACTTAAGAAGGCTGGCATAGCAGTGGCCGACATGGTGCACCAGGGTCCTCCGATGCAGGCCGGGTGGAGGGAAGCACCTTTGAAATGCTAAGGAGCTATCGGATGACATTGTGGCGTTAGCGGTATTTCTGCTTAATGATGGCTTGGTGGCCTGCCACGAGAGGAGCCATTAATTGTTTGGGGATGTGGGGTGAGAATCTAGGACGTTTCAGCGTGCCCTCCCTGGCACTTCCACAAAGACGACACAAGTTTTTCATACCAGCAAAGAAGAAGAAAAACAGTGCTTGCCATGATATGAATTATTTAGTCAGTTACACTTTTATGATCATTGTATATTATGTAGACTACGGTGGTTGAATTTTCATAACCTTGCACCACTGAAAAGGAATGAGGGGGTCTGCTGCACCCATCAGGGATATTTGTGCTTGTGTGGTACCACGGAGGTTGCAGGGTGTGCAAGATTCCCACTATAAAGGGGTCATAATTAAAAGATGAGCGCTCATGTTTTCATTAGTGGATGTGTGATGAAAACTCCTCCTAACGAGGTCTGAGGACCTTGCTGGGCCTCTGAGGTACCAGTGTTATAAATTAGTAACGCCTGCTGGTGGACACTGAAGCCCCTCAGGAAGACACGCTGGCATCATCTGAGGGGCCACATACCATTCTAGTTGTTTTACTGGTGGCCTGCCACCACAAAGCGCAACGTGTCACACGGGGAGTGGTGGAAGTAGGACGTTTAGTGTGCCGTTAGATTGTTTTAAGGGTATGCTTTTGTTTACCAATTGATTATTCTTTTTTTCTTTTTTTTTTACTTGAATTGGTTCTCAAATTAGCATGTGGAAACCAAAATGTGGGGCAAATGTGAATACATTAAGGAGTTGGAAAGATTCTTTGTAGGATATCACAGACATGGCTTACTTAAAGGTCCTCTTTCAGTCCGCTTCCTCGTATTTGAAACGGAATTGTAAAGGACCCCGAACCACGTAGACTACGTTATATGTCTCTGTAAGCTTGAAAATGAAGTCAAGAAGAAACATCCGGAGAGCATCTTGTTCAGCCTGATCTGCGGTGTCGGCTGGCAGCAGCGCTCACAACTTGTTTGATGAGCGCTCACTTTGCTCGTGTTTCACAGAGACCTGCCTCGCCCTGTTGGACATGTCTGGGATTGTGAAGACATAATAGAAGTGTGTCTGGCCACTTCCCCAGAGCGTGCGCCAGGGTCCAAGGGGAACCAAGGGAAGAGGAAAGAGGCCCGGGATGCTGGCACTGGCATCCAGGTTGGGTTCGGTCCCCGTGATCGGGGTCAGCCTTCTTTCTCAGGGCCTCGTTAATGGTTTTAAATGGGCGCCCACACTTCGCGTGACAGCCTGCATCCGTCTCGCAGCTACAGGGCGTGCTTCCACTAGCAACGACGGCCCACGCAACCCGACTCCCGTGCCCCGGGATTTACGAGTCTGTGTGGACTTGTGCTTTACCATGTCACAGTAACACGTGTCCAGATTAGGTACCAGGGCTGTAAAACATCTCACCATTTCAAAGGGATACCTGTGATTGATGCACCGTGCCTCCTCTTAAGACTGGCATATGGATGCTCGGATGCACCGACAGATTTCCATGCACATCTGCCAACATGTTGTTTTACAGCCCTTATTATATCCCGAGAATGTCTGCAGAAGAGGAGAGTTTTTTTTTCCCATCATCCCTCACTTCGGTGTTGACTGTACGAGGCCAGTGGAGCAGACGAACTCGCCGGCACTCTGAATATTTCTGCCTAAACAGCGCGTTCTATTCATCTTTCTTGGAGTTCAGCCGTAGCTTGCGAACTCTCGACAAAGATTGATGTTCTTCTGCATAAGAAACACGTCGTCCACAGATAATTATTCAGTTATGATGTATCTAAGGAGGATGCCAATGAGAGGCAGCACCAAACCCCCCCCCCCAAAATGTCCCCACCTTTGTCCTCACTTGCTATCTTAAACAAGTTATATGCAAAGAAGAATGTGGCATTAAATCAGCGGCCCTGGAGTTTTCTGCGTGTGGAACACGGAGATGCAGAGGAGGAGTCCGGTCTAATTAGTCTTGCAGGCTTTGCAGTACGCAGCCATGTGTTAATCATGCTCATCGTGGCTCAGATGTCTCAGATGTCTCAGATGTCTCAGATGCCGCTACAGTCTGGAGGGCCTCTGCCGGAGTCTCCGCAACGACCAAAAAGGCTTCCTCTGGAGGGTGCTCTGGAACGAGTCACTCCCCCTCCCCCCGGCAGAGAAAAATGTCCCCACAGCAAAATAGACCCCCACCTCTCCATGCTCCCTCCCTGTCCACAGGCCTACTCCAAAGGGACACCCACTAATCTTCCTGAGAAAGAGATTTCTGCCTTTCTTTCTGTGCTCCTAAATGAGGCTCTTACGCTGCTGTGGTTCCACGATCGGGGGAGGGAGGCGAGGGAGGCGAGGGAGGCGAGGGGGTCGGGGGGGGGTTCTGTGGCTACGGTTATGCAGGGATGACCGCATTCAAGACCGAGCTCTTGCCCCCTTTGGTTTAACTCCTTAGCCCTTAGTCCTTAGTTGAAAGAATCAGAGGTATTATTCTGTAGAAGAAAAGGGAAAAGGGGGAAATGCAGTTGTTCACACTGGTCTGCGTACTCATTTATAATTTTAGAGACTTTTGATTTTTTTTTAACTCAATTTCTTTTGATCGAAACGCACAGACGTCTGGTTTAATTTTTTTTTTTTTAAAGAGTCCTACACACACGTTTGAAATGTATTTTCACAGTTTGGCAAAAAAAATGATCCATCAACCAAAAATTCTCGCCTGAAAGATCTCGCCTGAAATGAAATATGTATATATACATACACACACACATATATATATACTGAAATCTATACAAATCTCACAAGTGCTCCCTTGAGTATGACACTAAAATGATTCACATAGACCTTGTAGTTGCAGAGACGTACCCATTTTGTATTATTATGTCACTTTGGAACTGTAGCCTAAAAAACCCGGCCTAGTGTTTAAAGTTAAACGCACTATAATATTACTGGATGGGCCCGTTTGCTGGCTTCCAAGCAGAACTGTTCTGGCCCAGCGACATCAGAGTATATCTCGCCCTAACATTCCCTTATCTTTGCTATTTAAGGAAATACTGTGGATCAAATTACGAGACTGTACGTAGAAGAATCTCTCCCCGTGGCCCCAAAGGTCCACAAACATGTCATGGATTTCATTTTTAACAGCCCAAAGTCCATATTTGCATCCCCAGTGTTGAGAATCTGCTCGATCAGGTGTCATCGACGGTAACATTTTTGTCACAGCATCAATAACGTCTCTCCTGATACTTGAGATGACCTGCGAGCAAGAAGCTTACAGGAAGGCTATTGGACAAGTCCCAGTGCTGTTTACTTTCCTGTCAGGGTCCATAGCCACACACTCAGGAACTCACCGCTTGCCTCCAAGAATGACTGATATTGTTTCTGTCCCGGAATGACTTCCGATTTATGGCTTTGATCATGTGCAGAGTCAGTTTACACGATGTGCCTGATATGTCCAGGAACCTGGAACTGCACACATCGTTTAAAAACATCACCTCCATTTTTCTGTGTATTTTCTGGATGGGCAAAAACACTCTGCTGACTGGCATTCTGGGTAAAAGATTACTTCCTGTGACTCCTATAAACAGTTAATTTGGTATTTTTCCATCTCACTCCTCAACTCTTATCTTGAGTTTTATTTTGTTTTTATCGCTGGACTGAAAGCCGAAAGAGGACATTTTGTTCTGTCTTTGTTTTTGAACGCGATCCAAGAAGAGGACGAAGTGGAGATACTCATCTCATGTTTAATGGGGTCATTTTCTCCTAGACTTCCATATAACTAGACTTCTTTTGGCAGCTAAAGGAGGCACCTCCACACTTGCTTCACCTCTCTGAACCGGCGGTTGCCACCTGGAGGAAGAAGAAGCGTTGTGATGTCACCCATCAAAAGAACTTGTGGCCGACAATCAAGAGACGGGGAGCGAAACCGCTGCGGGAGGTTGAACCCACCCAGGGATTGTTAGCAGTTCAAGCCTTGCATACTGCACATGTATGCTTTATTATTACTTCATGATTCACATTTGATACAAAGCTGAATTAGAAATACTTTTGCTGGATTGAATTGGATCCATGAACAAAAAGGCTTCAGAGGAATTCTTATCAAGCGTTAAGTACTATAGAGATGTGGTTTCCTAGTTTTGACAAAGAATATTTCAAGACGTAATGTTTATTTTAGTGAATGCCTACCAGACCGTCATGAAGACCGACGTTAAGAAGCCTACTTTCGGAATTGTCTTTAGTTTGTTGTCTGAATGGGGCACTGAGAAGCTCTCTAATGTGGTTATGAAACATAAATCATGTTGAAATGAGAGGACATTTCTGATATTGCTTGTGTCTTTGGAACACTGCCTCTGCTTCAAAGCAACCAGAGTTTAAAAAGCAACTTGGCATGCTTTGGGCAATGTCTGAGAATATAAATCTCTCTGTACTAGAGGCGTCCACACACACACACACACACACACACACAGGCCCAAAGACAACATGTTACATTCCTCACCGTTTACAAGCAGGGGGAGAGGAGGTGAAGGCAATATATGGATGCTTTAGGGGATTAACCCTCCCCGTCCAATGAGGTTCTCCCTCGCTCCTACTTCCTTTTTTCTTTTTGAGCTTCATCC